ATTGCTCGACTCTGTCCACACTAGTCTAGCTCTTCCTAGTTAAGACAACAAGCTGACCATTAATTAGTTTCATTAATCCTTCTTTAGAGAAGGAGCAACTTAATTGACATAACTGGTTAGGGTTGGATGGTTTTACAGTTTCACACTTTTTAATACAATCAGGCATTCCTCAGAAAGCCTCATTTTTCCTAGATTGTTTTATACTCCTAAACTACGCATTTAGGTATTATTTGTATCAGGGGAGCACTCTTGCATCACATTTTTGCTCTTCATTCCTTGAAGTTGATCAAGGCACTAGCGTTCTTTAACTGTTGCTCTCCCTACCCCATCTCCATATTTCAGTACTGACTGTAGTTCAGTACTTAGCGAATGAAAAGTTAATTTCTTTATACAATATAAAAGAATTATAAACATGCCTCTGAGGATTTTTCCTTCCTAGAATTTCGTAAAAGCATCCTAGACAGAACTGAAGATTATGAAATGTTGAAAAAAGAAAAGAAAGTTGTACTTGAATACAGATCTTCGGACTGACCCACAGTACATAAATTTACAGCACATCCATGAATACATATTAAAAGACTAGTGTTTGTAAGTACAGACTATTTCTTTATATTAAAAATAGTACATGTATTGGGGCGCCTGGGTGACGCAGTCGGTTAAGCGTCCGACTTCAGCCAGGTCACGATCTCGCGGTCCGTGAGTTCGAGCCCCGCGTCGGGCTCTGGGCTGATGGCTCAGAGCCTGGAGCCTGTTTCCGATTCTGTGTCTCCCTCTCTCTCTGCCCCTCCCCTGTTCATGCTCTGTCTCTCTCTGTCCCAAAAATAAATAAACGTTGAAAAAAAAAAAAATTAAAAAAAAAAAAAATAGTACATGTACAAAAGGTCTAAACTTGTTTTTGTTTTAAGGTTTCCACATGCAAGCTAAAATAGTGGCAATGATTTAAAAGTGAAACTAAAATGGAGAAGAAAATATGATAGAGTTAACTTTTTCTTTAATGCTTTTCTGGAAAAACTGAATCTAGAAAAAGCAGATAAATTTTGAAAGCTGCTGTAAAAGAATTAAGAATGAACTCACCCTTTCCTAAACTAATAACATAATCAGTTTTTAACAACAGTAACATGTTAAGCATTACTCAAAATTGCATATTAGGAAATCTTAGAATATTCATTGAATTAAGTAGCTTTCATATTCCAGTTAAATCTGGGAACGTCATCCTAATTTAACACACAATCCTATAGGCAAAATTTATATGGCTGAAACTGATTTCAAAAGAAATCAGTAGGAATAGAAGTACTCCATACAATAATATCTCCCTGATTTGGATTGATGTTTAGTGAAAAGAACTGGTTATGTGTCAGAGTGAGTGTTCAGTAGAATAGTGTGTGGAAATTCTGTGAGGGACTATTGTTTTTTCATGGTGCCTAGGATAGCAAACCCAGCCTAGAACTGGCCCTCCTTTAATAGAGATAAATAACATGCAATTAGCTTATCAAAGCACCTAGAGAGGCAGGCAAGCCAGTCTGGGTTTACCCCTTTTCCTTTAATGTGCTTGAAAGCAGTTTAAGTTGGAAAATTGTTTCTTTTCTTATTTTCATACCATTACTTTAAAAATTCTCTTTAGTACAGCAGACTTGGTATTCAGAACAAAAACTATTTACTGAGGCCTAATAGTATAATAAGTACTATCTTTCAATAAGTTACCTACAGTTTGCCCCACAACAATTTTCATAAATTCTTAATAAAAGAAAGTCAAATTAGTGAGGCTTGACAGGATTGATAATGTCTTTCAGGGATATATAAAAAGATCTTTATCATTTAATCCTTTGAGAAGAACCCTGCCCATTAAGTAGATAACAAAGATCAAGGAGACTAAGAGAGAACAACTATAACATATTTTATAGAACTTCTATTTTCTTGCTAGAATTTTCTTGCAATGTATACACTTTCCATAATTTGAGAAGTCTGAAAAAAATATATGAATTTGTAGCATTATCAGAAGAGGATCCATACTTTATTCACCAACTAAATCTCCTTTCTCCTGTACTCTGTACCACATACCTATATACATCACATTAAGTTACAAATGGAAACATAAAACTACAAATACCTAAGGATTTCATCTTTCATGTGAACCAATCCAACTCATATATTCCAAATATTCATGATGAATTGTCTTTTGTGTGTGTGTTTGTGTGGCTGGTGGAAAAGAAGTTGAATCTGTTTGGCAGATACATTGTATAAAATCAAAACTGAAAAATACAGCATAGGAAGTATAGCAATATTGCAATAAAGTTGTGTGACAGATGGTCACTAATGGTGAACATGGAGTACTTACTATAACGAATTGTTCAAACACTATGTTGTACACGTGAAACTAATGTAACATTGTATATTACTTAATAAAAATAAAAAATCAAGTCAAATTTGATTTTTCAGTGATTCTATCTAAAGAAAAGGTTTACATTTATTTTATGAAGAGAGTGGCTGAGCAGCAAGGCTTATTAGTCAAAGACAATTTAACAATGTCTCAGTGCTCAGGATATGAGTATTAGTGGATGAGATGTGTTACTATAATACAAAGCAGAAAGCACTAAAAAGGAAGCACAAATAACTCTGTGTGCTTCAAATGCAAATAATTTCATAACTGCCACTAGCTAGAACGCTTTAAGGATTTAGGGCTTTTGCACAATTTCAGTATCACCGGAAAATAAAACAAAGTACTCCATTCCTTTGTCCCCCAGACTCCAAGAACTCGGACCGTGTTGATGAAAATTGGTTCTGAAGGGGCTGGAGGGTCGGTGCAGTCCCTGGAGGCGCCACTCCTTTTTGAGGCCCATGGTGCAGAGACCACTACACAGAATGGCGGGGTTCATTGGAGTTCTCACCCTGGCCAAACTCCCGATTACCTCTGATGAGCCTCAAAGATGACTGGGCAGCAGTTTAGGCCAGGTCCCCCAGCAGAAAGGCGGCGACAGCTGCAACATCAGCGGTTAAATTTTACAGCCTTTCATAACGCCGGTCTTAAAGGTACCTATAGTAAGATTGCTAGAGTTGGGGGTCCCTAGTACGGGGAAAGAAGGGAGGGAGAAGAGAAGGAAAATGAGGAGGGTACAGGAAAAGGGGGAAAGGAGGGGGCGGGACACCGCGGCGAAGTCGGAGGGTTTACTGGCTAGATCTGGCGTTCCCATGGAAACGTATCCCTCCGCCCGACCCAGCGTCTTAGCTTCATCAGTTCCCTCCGCGCGGCTTCTCTACTGTTTCCGCCCTGCTCCTTTGTGCCGCGCAGAACGTCGAACTGACGCATGCGCAGAGAGACCCAGCCGCCGCATATATAAGCGCGAACTCAGCTCTTCCTCGTAGTGCCGCTGGGACCGTTGGCGACTGGTCTGGTCTTGTGGCTTTTGTATTACTCATTCCTTGGGCACTGCGAGCTAAAAGAGCAGAGCTCGCGGGCCAGTCATCATGTCGCGTTACGGGCGTTATGGAGGAGGTAAGAGGCCAGGGCCCGGTAAGGGACGTTGCTGTGACTATAGTGAGTATTGCGAGGCCGTGGGGTTGGCGCGGCGGTTGGGAGACGGTTATTCCGCGTGCGTAATGGCGGCTTCGGCGCACACCATACGAAGCCGGAGGCAGCGGGGGCGGGGTGTCGAAGGCAGCCTGGGGATGGCGGGTGGAGGTCTGGTGGGTTCCGTATTCTTGGGCGTTTTCGTCTTCCACCACAGCCCAAGGCAGGCCCACGATTACTGTTTTCCTGTTGCCCTTCTTCGAGCCGCCCGCCTGCCCCCCACCCCCCCTCCCTCGGCTGCCATTTTGCGCACATTGACGAGCATGGTGGCGCATTTCCTTGGCGCTTTCCCGCCACTTTAGCAGACAGATCTGGTCCCAACTGTAAAACCGAGGGTGAATTTCAGACTGGACAAAAGTGTGGCAGCTTCGAGCTGCGCATTCTCGTCAGACAATCGGTCGAGTTGTGGAGTGGGAATGGAGACCTAATCTTTTCGTTTGGCGGCTGCTTTCTTTTCTCTTTTAGCTCTTTCGAGCGCGGTTTATGGCTCTGGGGCGGGGGGCTGGAGTGGGCGAGCCAGCGCCTGGGGCTGTTACCGCGGAGGACGAGGAAACCAGCTGTGGCCTCTAATCAGCCCCAGCCAGACCCCGCCCGCCATAAAACGCTGCGGCCCGCGCTCCCCGCGCGCCCGGGGCTCTGGGACCCGGGGGGGCGGGGCGGGCAGGCCCGCCGCGGACTCTCCTACCACGTCTGCTTTGTGTTTTGGGGAGGTCGTCTCCCGTTTGAATGTTAAGAGCTTTGCCTTGCGCCTAGCTTTTCCGGAAATTTATGAGCCTTCTGGTTTTACTAAATGCTGATAGGCATTAAATAAGCATACATTGTACAGTCTTAAAGGTTGGCCTGTTTGGGACAAAGTTCACTCAAACTTAGGCAAAATTTACATAACATTACGTTCTTATATTTGCGTTTTTTAAACGAAACCAAGGTGTATATTTGGCCAATCTGGGAACCGGTGCCAGAGAGAGTTAGAAAGGGCTTTCAGTTATTATGGTCAACAAGAACTGTGTGGATTGCAAAGAAATCTCAGGATTTACCTTTGTGGGTAGAAGATCCCAAGTGCAGAAGATGCAGTGGAGGCCTGGATGGGAAGTAAGTAAGATGTTGGTCATGAAACTCAGCCTTTATTAGGAGGAATATTCCTGTGGGCTGGTGGCGAGCTGGCAATAGTTAATCCCCTAATTCTACATACTTGAGAAGGGGGAGCAAAGTTGGAGTCGGAAGGGTTTATAAAAGAGCTTCTGAGGTTGGATGGAAATTTCTAAATCGAAGGGATCGATTGTGGCCTCTTTAGCATGAAATTTGTGCACCTTTCTTTATAGAGATGATTGTGGTTCCAGTGGGGATTGAATTATCAACAGGCATGCCTCGGAGGTCTCGTTTTGATAGACCACCAACTTCCGCGTCCGCTGATCCCAATGATAGATGCTATGAATGTAGGACATTATACTTATGATTGTCATCGTTATAGCCGGCGGAGGAGAAGCAGGTATTTATTTTAATAAAGGAATGGTTGGTATACTAGTTAATCAATTTTAATGTAAAGCCAAACAAATATTTTCTATAAACAGATATTAATTAATACAGGTGTATTTTACAGTTTTTGTTTAATTAAACAAATGCTAATATATTAATAATCAACCTGGTCAAAACCTTTCCGGGTTTGGTCGAGTAAAACGATTCCAGAATGTCACGAGCCTTATGATATCATGCTGAGGCGCCTTGCAAATCCGACAATTAAGATCCTCCTAGACCTTGAGGTGATCAGCATAAGAGGCCAGATCCCCTCGAGTCATCTACACCTAGCTTCACCTTATTCTTTAAAGGGCAGAAAATTTGAGACGGTGATCGCCGTAACAGTAAATTTGGCTTACAATTGGGGCCCCCTCCGGTTTAGAAAGAGGAACACCAGATTGACCACATTCCCAACTAGAAAAATCTTCTTGCGTCAATCAAGCCTCACCTGGCTCATTTGGCTGTCAGTTTGATCGTCGTTAGATTGAAGAAAACATCTAGATGCAGCGATCGGCTATAGATACTTCTAGATCGTCTAGATCTACTAGACCATGGGCCAAAGAGGGTCGACCTGCAAACTTGCAAGGTTTATTTTAAATACACATTACAGTGTTTTATATTATGTAATTCTAAAATGTAATTCAGCTTTTAACAAATCTTTTTTTAGGTAGTTAAAAAAAAAAAAAAACTAATAGGCCCAGAGTTTATTTCCAAATGAGACACTAAATTTAAATAGTTTGAGATTTGGTTTCAGCAGAGGCACACAAACTCTCAAAACGAGTTATCATCTGACATTCTTTTTTTTCCTAACTTAATAAAATAGGTCACGGTCTAGATCACATTCGAGATCCAGAGGTAGGCGATACTCTCGCTCACGCAGCAGGAGCAGGGGAAGGAGGTGAGAAATATTATCTAACTCAAGTTTTAACAACTGATAAACTTTAATTGGACATAAGACTTAAGCTTTGATTTATTTCTTAGGTCAAGATCAGCATCTCCACGAAGATCAAGGTCTGTGTCTCTTCGGAGATCAAGATCAGCTTCACTCAGACGATCTAGGTCTGGTTCTATAAAAGGATCGAGGTATTTCCAGTATGTAACACTTTCTTTCCCTTATTTGTATTTGGTTTGTCACGTCTTAATGACTGCACTTTAAGACTATCTTAAAGACATAAATGAAGTGGTTTGCATCAGAAAATATTTTGATTTCTAAAAGTTGAATTTGTACATGACTTGCATCTAAATGGATATTATCCTAATTGTACAGATCAAGAAAAGACCAATCAAAGATTTTTAGAGGCTTGTTTGAGAGGCCATGGTAGAGGAGGGTCCAAAGCACAAATTCTCAAGTCATTCCAGTGCTTCTTAAAGGTGATAGTTGCTTGATTTCTGCTGGAGGCCCATTAGAACCAGGGGTAGACTTAGAAGCAAGTTGAGACCTAAATTTCTCCTATTTGGAATGAGAGGGTGAATTTGAGACTGGGAAGTTGTTTAGGGTAGTAGTTGTGTACATGTGGGTGGATATGGCTTATTTAACCACATACACGCTAAAATGTAAGAAATTAAAAATCAAATTAGAAACCTTAGGGGTTTTTTGACTCCTCTTGTAGAAGGCCTTTAAATTAGGTGCAGAAATGGGTAAGATTCAGGTGCCTGGGTGGCTCAGTCGGTGGCATCTGACTTCAGACTCAGGTTGTGATCTCAAGGTTCGTGGGTTTGAGCTCCATGTGGGACTCTGCTGACAGCTCAGAGCCTGGAGCCTGCTTCAGATTCTCTGCCTCTCTGCCCCATCCCTGCTTGCGCTGTCTCTCTGTTTCACAAATAAGCATTAAAAAAAATTAAACGGGGAAAAAATACATAAATCAAAAAAATTAAATGGGTAAGATTTTATAGAATATAAGGAGTTGACAAATACTACGGTCAAGTCACTAGTAGTGTATGCCATTGTGAGTTAGTGCTGTTCGATAATAGCACAAGATCTGTAAAATGCAGGGATTCTGAAACTTGTGGTCCACTCCAGAAAGCTCTGGACTCTAGATGAATGAATGCATTAATTTGATTGCAGGACTCTAATGTGTGTATGTCAGAGGCTGTGGTTTAGTTTGTGTGACAAGTGGTCCTGAACCACGAAAGCTTGTTGATGATCTAAGAATAAAGTCTTAACCCATTTGTGACTTTTCATTGAGGTTATTACCTGAAGAATTGAAATCTCAGTTTAGGGGTCTGTGTAATGTTGAATTTGGTTTTGAGATCTACAACTAAACCAAATGATACCAGTCTTAAAACCTTTTCTTTCTCTTGGATACTATATACTGGTTAAGAATGTTGTACAGGAACTGTGACAACCTAGCTCACTGAGTATGGTAGAAACAAATAATTGAAGTGCTGGTGCTTCTTTATTTTGATATTGTGAGCTTGTTGAAAGTGTAATCATTTGTTCAGTCTTAGGCCGATGTAAGTTAAGAGTTGTGTCTTGCTTAGTCTTTTGGTTTTTTTTTTAAGTACTAAATTAAACATTTTTTAGGTAATCTCTTCACCCAGCGTGGGGCTCGAACTCCCAACCTTGAGATCAAGAGTTGCATGCTCTCCTGATTCAGCCAGCCAGGCGCCCTGTGTCTTGCCTAATTTTAGCTTCTCTGTTCTTAGTTTACCTAATGTAGTGCTCAGTAGTAGGTGTTGAAGGACGTTACTCCTCTGAACTAACAATGCCGTTTTTCTTTCTATTAAGATCCCGGTCGAGGTCAAGATCAAGATCTAGGTCTCTTTCACGACCAAGAAGCAGGTAGGGTAAAAATCTGATTAATACTCTTCTAGTTATATGGCACCAATATCCAAAGAGTTCAAAGTGTTTTGAATTGTTGAAATCTCAAGTGTAAACTCAGAACCTAGGTGTTCGTGGAAACACAGAATCTTACTAGTAAACCAAACATTAGAACTTGGTTTGTACGTGACCTATTCTGACTGACTTCCTGGACAAGAAAATGTCAAGCTATAGAGAGAAGTTTGTGACTTTGGGGTTATATTAAGAGGCCTTGTTAGAACTGATAGGTGCATGGAAAAAAGCATTCTGAGGTCATTGTGCTTGAAGTATAGTGTAAAAATTAATCATGATACAATAAAGTAGTTCACTCATTTTATGAAGAACAGTTGTTGGAAGATTGGCTTTTGTTAGCAAAAACTGGTAGGCTCTCTTTCAGTTGAACTGCAGCCTGACCTTTTAATATTAAGCTCAGCGCAACCTGGGGGTTCATTTCATGATACTGTGATTATAAGAAAGGTATTTGGTAGTACTTTTCTTAATAGAATTTCTCATGTTTTGACAGCCGATCAAAGTCCAGATCTCCATCTCCAAAAAGAAGGTAAGCTAAATAATTTGTTGCCAAATCTTAACTGTCAAGTATGGCCTCTGCAGAGTTTGTTTGCTTACTGCTTGCTTTGCAGGCTTTGAGCTCTTTGGAGAATTGGTGCTATATATATATATACATGTATATATGTATATATATATATATATATATATATGTATATATATATATATACATGTATATATATATATATGTATATTCTTGTTAGTTACTAAGTTTCTTAAATGATTGCTTTTCCCACTTCAAGTTGAGATTAATGTTTGGATATTTAGTCACAAAACCTTAGGATGATTATTAAGAGGCTTAGTCCTGTAAACCTTTAAGTGTAGAGTTTCACGTTAAACATGCGCTTTTTCCTCCACGTGGGACAATAGATAAGTGAAGTACCCACATGAGGGAAAAAAAATTGTAGGTTGAAATCTTAGAGCTAAAGCATTATCTTACTACTTACTTGCTACTTAATGATCGAAACCCCAGAATTCAAATACTAGTTTTCTTTAACTTGTGGTTTTAGCAAGGAGGCTGTGAAGCCTAATCTTAAGCAGGGACAAAGGATTTGTATGTAAATCTTTTAGGTAATTTTTAGATCTCTGCTATATATTACTTTTGGCCACCTAGGAGTTTACTGAAATTGAGTTTTGTCCTGATATGTACATAACAGTAAATTTTAGTAGATACTAATCAGTTCCAAACTTAATTGTTTTTCTTTTTAGTCGTTCCCCATCAGGAAGTCCACGAAGAAGTGCAAGTCCTGAAAGAGTGGACTGAAGTTCTCAAGTTCACCTTTTAGGGAAAAATTATTTTGTTTACATTATTATAAGGGATTTGTGATGTCTGTAAAGTGTAACCTAGGAAGGGTATTTCAACCATCTAATCAAAATGGATCTGGATTATTACTCTGTAAATTCACAGCAGTAAGATAATATAAATTTTTGTTGAATGTATTAACATCCTATGGTCTGAAAATGTGGGTTTTTATTTGGCACATTTAAATAAAATGTTTCTAACTAGATTTTTGATTTGTGTTCAATGTTAATACTCAGTTTAAGATTCAGGGGTAAACCTTGATATTAACTATTCATACAGATCTATATTCATTAATGGTGTTATTTGAGTTGTGAACATCATTAGCTGTAGTATACATACACTTGGGGAATTCCTTTTTATCCTTAGAGCTGTGGGTAAGATAAGAACTCAAGTCCACTTAATAGCTTAAGTGTATCTGACAAGTCCCTAAATAATCTGTTGGGAGTTGGTATTACTAGATAATAGCAAGCTCTAACGATCTCAATTTGTCAGCCTAGAGGATCACTGCTTCCAAAGGCTTGTTAGTACAGTAACTAATTGAGGTTTTCAGGCTATGAGATGAGATGGTGTCAAATCAGAACTCCCGATTTTAGTAAATTCTACCCAATGTTCTTTTGTTTTCAATATTAATTTTATACCACAACTTATGCATGTTGGAAGAATTGTCTGAATTTGGGACAAAACATCATGTAAACCAGCTTTGCAAAATTTTCCAGCCCAGATACTCTCTCTTGAAATGGATTGCCTTATTCTGAGCAGAGATTATTCCCATCCTAGGTTTTTCGGTTCCTGACTACCAACATTTTATTTTGCCAGGCTGGTGCAAAGTAATTATAAAGATGTCAATCTGAAAAAAGATGTCAATCAGAAATGTTAATGAGACTAAAGCAGTTTTGTAAATCTGCGTTTAGCGACACCTCATGTAGTTGTTTTGGTAGCATCTGGTAGATCTTAGAATATAGCTGGTAGATTCTTTGTTCAGACTTTATCCTTAGTAGGACAGTAATAGTTAATTTTGAGTTTTCTGGTCAAGCTTTTACCAGGCATTCTTTAGCATCAGTTCAAAAAGGGAATACTGGTCTGCATCAAATTTATTTGGTCTGAATGATCACTAGTGCATTGGAAGATTGGATATTTTCTTTTCAGAATTTTGACAACTGGCTGAATTATAATGGTGTAAAGCTATGTGTGTAAATGGGAGGCTTATTTGTTGCACTTGGTCAGCTTTAATTGTTCTGTATTACATAAAGATAAGTTCACTTAATAAATCTGCAGAGAACAAACAACCCTGATACTCAATTTTTGGAAGTGGCAGTGCTGAGCCAAGAGTAGGAATCATTAATCCTGTAGCTTTGGGATGATTACTAAGCAGTAACCTAGAGATTAGTACAGAAGGCTAAAAGATAGGAGGAGGGGTAGGGGCAAAAATGGGTCTAGGAAACAAGTACAGGAAGTTCAACCTTTAATGGGAAAGGGAGTGCTAGGTATCTAGGTCAGTGCCTTGCACATGCTTGACAGCAGGTACCTTTGTGGTTAGTATACATCTTAACGTGATACATTTTGATGCAGTGTGCTCTTTTTGTTTGCATTTTCAGGTGTCGGGAATGCTAAACTGATGTGACTGACTTGATAAGTACTAGGCTAGGCTTATTCCTAAAATACCTGGCACTACTTGGTGACTAATTGAACACATCAGACACTGAGTACTTTGGACATAGAATCTTTTAGTCCTCTTGCTTACAGAGAGGTGTTGAGAGGTAGGTAATGCATACCCTTGATTGCACTTGATTTCACAGTGGTAGTTTTCCTTTGGACTTGGAGCTAGGCTAAGCATAAAGTGAAAGTGTGGTCCTGCCACCTTGCCATATCCTGTCTTGAGGACGGTGAAAAATCTGAGGGAATTTTGAAATGCCATCACTTTGAGACTTGGTGAAATGGATGGTGGTGTAGGATTGTGATTGTCCTCTTTGTGTAGCCTATCTTGAAGTCTAAAGGAGGATGGTGATTTCCAAGGTACGTGTAAAAGGAAGTGTAAGCTCTAAAACTGACAGGTTGGCAAAGAGTAATCAGAGTGAAGAGTAATAGCAAAGAATCAGATCTGGCTCTTAGCAACTGTTTGGAGACCTTTGGAAGGGAGGGTACAACGTAGTGGATGTATAAGTAATTGTATAGCTGGAAAGACCTGAAGTAAAGGTCAAAGTAACATACCAGGGGCCTGGCTGGTCTTGTAGTGTTTGGAGGGCGGTGAGAACTGGTGACAAACCAAAGACATGGAGTGAAGATGCTTAGGTTTCTGGTAAGCGGTAGTATTAAAGCTATTATATCCAGAACGATCTTGAAGGGAGGGTGGCAGGGAAACACCAGCAGGCAGTTTTAAAGCCTGATAGGTTTTTTTCCCCCCACACCTTACAGGTTTCCTGTTAACATTCTAGTAAAGATGTCGAAGGACATTTTGTGAGATCCACACAGCAATATAGTGCTGGTAACCCCATCTCACAGAGGAGGAAATGGGTTCAGTGAGATTGTTAATACTGTTTACTAGTCTCCTATTAGAAGAAAGGAAATGTTTGAATCTTAATGTGTTGTTTCAAAGCCCTTGGTTTTCTTATCAATAAGGCACCTTATTGCTTTTTTAAAAAAAACCTTACGGGAAAATCAGAAAATACAACCCATGATTCTACTCATTGTCGACTTGCTGATAACTTGGCTATTTTCTTTCCAGACCGCATGAGGCAAAGATGCCGGATAGAAGGATAACTGGAACATGTGGAATGCAGTAGCCAATTGTTGAAGCACTCTAGGCTGCTTCTTGAATCTAGTGCTGTTTTCTTTTTCCCACAGGCCGCTGGCCCAACTTACTTTCCATTTTATTTCATTTTTTGACTTGGTAATATATTCAAGGTGTATATAGTGAGAAGGCACCCTAACCCTGACTCAGCTGCCCAGTTACCTCCCCAAAGGCAACCATTGTTACCAATTAATACAGCCTGAGCAAATATGGACAGATTTTCTCCATTTCCCTTTTAACACAAAATAGATGCACCTTGTTTTCCCTCGTTTAACATTTTGGAGTTCTTCCATTATACGTAAAAATGGCGCTCTTTTTATGTTGCATACTAGTTAGTTCCTGGATGTTGCATAATTGACACAGATAACTTGTGTGCCCCTTCAATGTGCCAGGTACTATTAGCCATGGAAAACAGATGAACAAAGTCTTTATCTTCTGGAGCTTAAGTTCTGGAGAGACAAATGAACAAACAGGTGGGTAATAACTGATTCGGACAACAACGAGGCGGGGAGAGAGGGGGAATTGGTTGGTGTTGGGTAAAGGATGTCTAAGGGAGGCCTCTGATAGTAACGTTTGTGCATGTGAGGGAGTAAGGCACGTCAGCTTGTGGAGATAGAGTGTTCTAGGCAGAGGGCATAGTAAGTGCAGAAACTCTGAAGTGGTTTGTGTTGGGTAAGGATGCCAGCATGGAGTGAACACTGGGAGAGAACAGGAAGAGATGGCATAGGAAGGGAGAGCGGTGTAGGATATAGATTATATAGGACCTGTGTACCTTGGAGAGGACTTGCTGCTTTTCCACTGAGTTTTTCAGCAAAGTACCAGGAATTAGTTCCCTCTTAGTGGATGTGAGGGTTTCTGATTACAGTAATAATGCTGTAGTGAATAGTACAATACATTGCACGTGTGACTGTATGTATTGGATAGACCCTAGAAGCTGAATTGCTGGGTCAAAGGATGTGTGTGTGTGTGTACACGTGTGTGTGTATATATATATATATATATATACACATATATATGTATATATATATGTTTTTTGTTTTTTGTTTTTTTTAATTTTTAACGTTTACTTAACTTTTGAGAGAGAGACAGCACGAGCAGGGGAGGGACAGAGAGAGGAGACATAATCCGAAGCAGACTCCAGACTCCAAGCTGTCAGCACAGAGCCCAATGTGGGGCTTGAGCCCACGAACCGTGAGATCATGACCTGAGCCAAAGTCAGATGCTTAGCGTCTGAGCCACCCAGGTGCTCCTGCGTTTATTTATATTTTTGCTAGGTATCGTTAGTCTGTCCTGGTGACAAGGTGAAGGAGTATCTTGTTTCTCTGTACCATTGCCTGCATGGTACATATAGTGTAACCACGTGGTGGGATTTCAAGCTTTTTAATTTTACCAATCTGGTGTTGAAAAATGATGTCTCAGCATAGTTTTTGGTTTTTGTTTTAACTGTGGTAAAATGCATGTTTTCCCCCTATTCTGGAAAGTTTCCATGTAATCAAAAGTCTGGTTTAGGCTCCTTTGCTCTCAACACGGTGAACTTGCCTGTTTACTTCTCTTATAGGTGTGCCACCAAAAGGCTAATGGCGACAGCAGGTACCGGGCCTTGTTCTGTTTTCCTCACTGCCTAGTACTTAACACTTAAATATTTGATGAAGGAAAGTTAATGGGTGAATGAATCAATGAATTATCTGTTAAGCCGAGGATATAAAATTGGAACCTCCTCTCTTCTCTGAGACCTATAATCGCCATTTCAATTAAAAGCTCACATTTCCATTTAGCCACATCTAAGACTCCTGTCTGAGTCTGTCTGCGGAGGATCTAGATCCCTAGGCTGCTGTTTACAATGTCCAACTCTACTCTGCAACTCGATTGCAAGGTTTCTTTTCTCCTCATCTGGGTTCTCCTCATCAAGGAGTTCTGTTCAAAAAGGGTGTGGAAAATTTTTGTGCAGAAAGTTCTCTGCAGAGAAGGGTGGAGACTTACCACCCCAAGAACTGGTGAGCTGGGGTGAGTCAGCCTATCCCATGTAAGAAAGGTCACGTCATAAGACCAACAGCAACCATTTCACCTATCAGCTGCCTAAGGTTATATCCTATCCAGCTCTTCAGGTCCCTTGGGTTGTCCTCAGTGACCAAAGCTTGCTTAAAGGTGTCTGGATGTGATCCTATACGAATGCACTGTTAAGTTTTTATTTTGGGATGTAGCAGATCTTCAAGAAATCTGGATTCCAGAAAATGAATTCTTTCAATGCCAAGGCTAAAAAATTCTGGCTGTAAAGCAAATACGTATGACAGAGGTAAAGGTAGATGGGCTAGTTTATCTTGGCCATTGTCAGAAGAACCATCACCAGAGTTCCAGGGCTCTTATAATAAGAAC